GCCATGTGAACTTGAATTATTTTGACAACGTTTTATCTTTACAGAGATAAAGGGAAGGAGGCCTTCACAGGGAGAGACTAGTGACACTTCAGGACTGCGTTGACGTCATGTACAGGCGCAGGTCCTTCATCAGATCTGGATCCGGCGGACTGCGGTAAACCTCGGGATAAACAGAGAGACTAATATTAGCGTAGACGCCATCCTTCTTATGATGTAACGAGTACATCAGGATTTATGGGAAGTGTTCCCGGTTCCGGCTGACCTAATCTATGCAGCCTAACATTGAATTATAGAAGTCTATAGTGTGTTATGTGTATGCTAGGCCAAAGAGGTGTGTTTCTAGTCTAGATTTGAACTGACAGAGTGTGTCTGCTTCCCGGACAATGTTAGGAAGACTGTTCCAAAGTTTTGGTGCTAAATAGGGAAAGGATCTACCGCCAGCAGTCGGTAGAGTACCGACGGTACCGCCAGCTTCTGTGGAGTAGAAGATGTGCATGAAAATGGATCAGCTAAGAATGATATATATATAGTGCACTATTTTTTTTTTAATCAGGTTGCAGTTGGTTTTAACATGCAAGTATTTGGCAGGCACTTTTATCCACGTGCATTCGTTTTAGACACTGGAAATTCGTCTAATTTCTGACACTGAAACAGCAGAGGATCATTTATAGTGTTAAAGCTGCATCTGTGCACTAGATAAATCACTGAACCTGCAAGAATTATCAGAGATGCACCTGCACAACTGCTTGTGGGCAAAAACGGCTCATCATGCGAGTCATTTTTCAGCATTTGTAGTAAACCAAGACCACCTATATGAGAAGCACCCATCACACTCCTCTAACTAGTAGGTCATTGACATAAACAGGATTATCCAACGAAACCAGTCTAAGACTATTTTGATTCTAAATCAATATTGGGTTTCAAATAACTTTCCTGTGAAGCTTTGTGTCATTGTTCACATTAACCATAGTGCTAGTAGTAGATTTGGAAAATTGTCAATATTTATTTTATAGTCAGTCTTAAAACATTTTTTTTTCTTTCAGTACAAACATTACCGTTCAAAAGTTTGGGGTCAGTAAGATTTTTTTTTTTGAGAGAGAGAAATTAAAGAAATTAATAATTCTAATCATTTTGATGAGCTGTTAATGCCACACATGGTATTAAGGTATAAGAAGTGGATTTTTTTAACCTCTTAAGTGTCACACCCCCTTTTTTGAATAAACATGAAAATGCACAATCCGAACTTAAATGGTTGTAATCCAAGAATGCTTTGGAATATAGACGTAAGATTTGTCTTGTTTTAAAGAAGACCTTTGGCAGATTTTTTGTGGAAGTTAAATAAATTAAGAAAGTGAAACAGAAAAAAAGTTATAGAAGTTTGAGTTTATGAAAATGTAATAATTTAATTATTCATATTTTATATAAAATATATTTTTTCAAAACCTGGTGGACTCTAAAACTGCACGAAAATCAAAGCCAAAACTCTGAACAAGTTGTGTTTCAAATTTTAGGATGATATCTCAAAAATTAGCTTTCAGTACTTAAGATTCTGTTTTGGGCGCAGTACCAAACTTTTTCACAAGATCACAACCAGACTCCATTACTGCCCTTATATGGGTGAGTGATCTGAACCAATATTTCCACAATTTTCATACAATTTATGAAGATCCCGTATCTCCATATCCACGGTCGTTTTCGATTTCCCTAACCTAAAATACAATCTTAAACTCGGCACTTAGCGTCTTCGTCACGGCTCTCAGCCCGCCCTCTGTTCGTTGATTGGCCGGCTGTTTTCAGGCCGGAGGAAAACTGAGAGATAGGTCGCTATCTCAGACTGAAGCGAACTGAAATTGAGAGGAAGTACGAAGTCTGACGTAGTCAGGCTAGATAATTAGTAGAGAACAGAAAACTGTAGAGAACAATGACACATAGTTTAAGCATATATCCAAAGCTAAACATGAGCACTTACAAAATAAATAACATAATGCTGTCAATGTGAAATATATACAAATACTCAGTTCACATTGATAAAATATATCAGTTAGGATTAGGGTATACATATACAGTTTGTACAGAATAAAAATCATTATTTATATTATATATATCTAAGAGTGTTGACTGACTTAATGCATTAAGTCTCACGTCGCTTCCACAAGTCCACTTAAAAGGGATATTATCTAACTCTTTACATAAGAGCTAATAAAACTTTGTTAATTACAGTTACACTGAATGAAGAACTCACTTTTTGTATATAGTCGCTTAACCCCCTGGGATCGGCAGCTTTCTTTTTTTCTTATCACTGCAAAGAGACTTAAAATCCTCTGTTGATTTTGATCTTACATATAAGTGTTATACATCATTCGATCCTGTTAAGTGTCTATTTTTTTGTGTATACTCACAATAAAAATGAAGTGATGTGCTTTTTGCCAAATAAAGGAAAATAAACATGATGCTCGTTCTGCCATCTCTCTCAATGAGAAGTCCATTCTGAAACGCGTCCGAAAATGAACTGTAACTCAGCGAATACTCAGTCACGCAGGCATACAGGCATAAAGCTTGCATTCTCTTCTTTTAAATGAAGTAATTTCTATAAAAAACAAATATTCTCAGTTTATGTAATCTGTATGAAAATAGAGAGATGTCAGTCGTTTTCTTTTCAGCTCATTATACCTCATTAACTGCTAATGTGAGAGCGCACGCTATTTAAACGCAAATAATCTGAGGCAAGATGCAAACGTGTCAACGCCCACATCAACTCGATAAAACACATCAAGTTTGATCAGACTCATGTACTTTACGATGCTGTGAGGAATAATACTGGGCCGGTTTAGTTTCATTTCGAGGAGCAACAGACCCAGCTGAGGTGGAATAGTAATTTTTTTATTCTTAAGTTGTTTGTTCTCATTGCGATATGCAATAGTGTCTGTAAACCGCAAAAAGACTGTTTAAATATGAATCGTGTGTCTGTGTGTGAATGAATGAACTGCACAGATGCGTGCTGTTGTTTACTACAGAACAGCTTGGATCTGTGCCGTATAAGCAACGTATTAAACTGCAAATTAACATTTATATGCTAATATCTCATGAAAATGATATGTTACTGATGAAATGTGAATGTTGAGACAAGATTTCGTTGATTAGTTTTGGATAGGTTCTAATAAAGTTTTTACTGTAAAAAAAGACTACTGTCACATCAAATAAGCTTTTGTTCACCAACTTCTGCTCATATGTTAAATATATAGTATGGGATGTTTTGTCAAAAATAAAGTATATTGAATTATCAACTAAGATGTTTTATAGTGTTTGTTCCAATAATCAAACTAATGAATCCTTGACTTTGAAATACTTATGATAAATGTATACTTTTTACAAATAAAGATTGCACTTGAAATATTATTAAAATTGTAATCGTTGATTTACATGTGAAAACTTTTTAATAAAATAGCAAAAAATATATTTACAAGGTAGATGTAAGCAACATCTTAATAGGTCAATATAAGCCTTCTAATGAAATTATTTATTATTGTTTTTTATTAGTGACAAATTTGGGGAGAATATATATTCCAAAACTTTCTGAAAATACAGTATGACAAATTAAGTGCATAGTTACTAGAAATGTTTACCTTGGATATTATACAATTTTAATGCATACAAAATAGTGACACACCTGAATGAAAGGCTCATTATGTGGATCATTGTCTTCTCAGGTGTGAATCAGAGCATTATTCACGCCATTATTAAGTATCAGGAAAGGCAAGGGGATTTTGTCTGTCCCTAAAAACTATTTCTCAACGAAGTGCTCATCTAAAAATTTGCGCTGAGATGTCCACAGGATATGGAAAGAAAAGGTGAAGCAATTGCCACAGACACTGGGAATTAGTTACGTCACCTATATGTTTCTTTGCTCACAGCTGATTGGTCAAACTTCAGTCTGAGATCTCGAATCCAGAACATAACCTGCCCCGGAGCAGATTAGCCGTGCAGCGTAAGATACCATGGCGACGAACACCGATTAAAGCCGAGCTACTTTCATAGTACCTAAGACCCAGGGTTGGCGCAAACTAATCTTAAACTTACCTGGCTAGCCACCTAAACCGGCTTCATGGTACAGGCCCCAGGTGGCACCCATGATCACTCGTCATTCCTGATTGGTTACAAAGTGGAAGAGGATACAGTATCTTTGTTAGTCTTATTTGCCTCAAGCGTTTGTAGGTCTAAAGTTAAGGAAGCTTTTGGGAGTTATTGGTTTGTTTTCACTTGAGGTGAGTTAGACACTTCTTAGGTGATTACATTTTTTTTTTTATTGTTTTGGTCTTGCCCCCTCAAGAAAACTTGGTAGCTTCCCTAAATAAATACTTTTCCTTGTGTTTACGAGTGATGGGTGATTCATGAACTATACGTTCATTGCGTATGTCACGTGACAAATGAAAGAAAGACTCGGAAGGTAAAGTCATTATGTTCCCTGTAAAATATTTTTGACAGCATTATAATGATTTCTTAATTCAGAATATGATCAACATTGCGTATGAGGATGTGTTAGGGGAATTAGGCTGTTAAAAGTATAACATTGAAAGCCACTTAAATTAACGAAATGACTCAAATAAACATTCGTTCATTTTGATGAATTAGATCAAACAAGAGAGTCAGTAAAATGATCCGAACTTCCCATCACTAGCGTTTACAACTCTGGGATGTATTGTGAAGTTCTGGGATGGGTGAAGGAGCTCCACAATCTCTTTTATTACTCCACTCAAACCCTAGACTTGTGAGGAAACATATTAATAGTCTCAAAATACTGTAATTGAGCCTTAAATCATCACTTTAATAAATGTTACCACCATTTATAATTTTACAAAGAAACACTAAATACATTAATAAAAAATGTAATACAACTATCATTATATATACACTCAAGTTTCTATTATTTGTATTCCAAAGGTGAGCTTGAACTGGGTTTTTTTTTTTATCACAACAAATGTATCTTTTATCAGTCTTTTATCAGTCTTTGTCTCCCTCTGCTGGTACAACACAAACACACATCCAGGCTCTATATTTTCTCTAACAAAACTCCAACCTTTTTGAATTTATACTGTATGTTTATACAAATAAAATGATTAACCTATAAATGAGAAACTGTAATTCGCTGCTCAGAAATAAAAGGCGTTTTACTGCCGCCTCATCAGGTTTGTCAGAGGGTTGCTGAAATCTAAATGAAGTCTTAATTTAAAACAGTGAAGTCACTGTATCTTCAGTCTCGGTTGATTCTGTTAACTGTGAGTCTCTGTAGAGGTGATCCTGAGAAGATCAGACTGTCATCTCATACTAGTCCTAAAATAAAACAAACAAACAAACAATCATATAACTAGTATGAGACATTATGTCCGTCACATCTTTTCATAAGAAAACTTAGATAAGCTATATTATTTCAGCAGAAATGATCATTACACTCCACTACTAATTTAATATCAGTTAATTACAAACAACCCAAATCTCAGATCATCACAAACGTAATATAAAAGCTGAAAATAACATTAATATTTTTTTCACAATCAGTCACAACACTGTGACCAGAATTGAACTCATATTAAACAGTTTAAAGTGCAGAGACATACAGAAACTGAATATCAGACTTATTATCAGATGATCTCCGATGATATATTTACACACACGTGGTGTTACTGAACCTGGTACAATTTCCTTTTATTTCTAGTGAGTAAAACAGCCCTTTGAATTTTAAATGAAAATATGAGGAAAATTGTTAAAAACTACTGTTACCATAATATCTGCAGTTTATAATGAGGATTATCCTTCAGACCAGAGAGCAGCTTCACTCCTGAGTCTCCTAGATTATTCCAATTCAGATTCAGTTCTCTCAGGTGTGAGGGGTTTGATCTCAGAGCTGAAGCCAGAGCAGCACAACCTTCATCTGTGACTCCGCACTTACTCAACCTGTAGAGAACAATCACGCACTCTTCACTCTCTCATATCAACATAGACTTCATTATCAAAGATAAACCAATAGCATATGCTCAAATCACCATGTTAGATGGATCTTGGTCTGTGTCAGAGCACAAAACATTATCATAACACACCTGCAGTCAAACTCAAGCAGGAAAAAAATATATTTTTTAATTGTAGGTTCATAATTTGGTTCATAAACATTTACAAGCTGATGTCCTCACCTGTTGCTCGACTGCTTCTTCTAACAAGTACTTGCAAACACGGTAGAATAAGTACTTTACCTGGTTTTGGCCAGACCCTAATACTTGTAAATTTAGATGTAGATTTTATACATGTAAAAAAAACTCTACATTATCCAGTTTTCACCTACAATTAAAATTAATGGACTGTTAACCCTGACCATGTTGAGATTGAGTGTGTTTAAAGTAAAGTGTGTTAAATATTGATAGTAAGTGTTTATCAGAGTGACTAACGGTACTGCAGTATCACCTTAAGAAGCAGCTCATGTGTTCAATCATTTACAAATCAATCACATTAACTCACAGCAGCAGGAGAAATAGAGCAAATGCTTCAAACAAAAAAATATAAATCCTCTTACATCATATGAAAAGACATGATATTAAATAAATGAATGGTAATTTGATGTTTCAATAGTTTTGCTTGTAATAAATGTAACAGTTAGTTTCCCCTGAATAAATTCAGTGCCACAGTTTCAAGTGAGAGTAATGTATGATCTTACCACAGTTTCTCCAGTTTACAGTGAGAGTCCTCCAGTACAGCAGAGAGCAGTTTTACTCCTGAGTCTCCTAGTTTATTATATGACAAATTCAGATATCTCAGGTGTGAGGGGTTTGATCTCAGAGCTGAAGCCAGAGCAACACAACCTTCAGCTGTGACTCCACAATCACTCAACCTGTAGAGAACAATGACACACTTCACTTTCTCTGTAGCTCATGTTTTAATGATTACAAAAAAGGCATCTCTGTAGAATATAATGTAGCTGATATTCATCAAATCATGTTCACACTAACAGTGTTAAAGATGGAGACAGACACTGAGAAAATATTAATTTTATCAATATAAATGTGAATTAAATAAGATGCCTATTCAGTTATCAGAAATTAATATTCTTTATTTTGCTTAGCTTTCTGCACCTATTTTTTCATCATTATGTTTATTGCTAATATTTGTTTGTGTACTATTTTTTGTTTCATTAGTTTAGTTTTGTTGTTGTGTAAATCAGTCTCGAGCAAAGGTGTCATGTGATGCAGTGGCGAGGCCAGACATTTTAAAGTGGACCTTGGTAAAATAGGGCCGATCTCAATATCTACTCTCAGATTACATAATTTTACAATACATGGGATAAAAAATAATGAAAAATATAGCTGCAAGCAGCGATTATGGGCCCAAGACCCTGTCCCCACCACCCCTTTCAAGACTGGATTCCAGGATTCCCTCTGCATCACAGAAATCATACGGACTTAAGTTATAAACTGGACAAAGCTTTATCAGCACTGAGAGATGGTGTTCTCAAATATAGGCGAACATGTATGATGCGTTTCCTCCTTTTGCAGCCACTTTGCGTCCACATTTTTTGCAAATTGGTTATCTATCCTCAAGGACAACCAAGTATATCCACGTTTGTTCTATATACAAAGTATCACCATGCCATCTGTGATGTACGTGTGTGGGTGGAGCAAGTTGAGAGTCAAAGCAGTCAAGTGGAAACACGTTGTGTATGCGCAGGGGAGTCCCCATCTGAATTATTTTTCCCCCAAGTAAATAAGAGAATCATTGTGCAGTGTGGACAGCTTCCTTGATTAAAATGGAACTAAGATGAGTGACAGCTTTTATAGTGATTATAAATGGAATGGTCTTTCGGCGCTTTCTAGGCAATATAAACTCCATTCAGATTTTGAATAATATATATTTTTTTTTTTTACTTGACCAGTGGCCACGTACACTCTGCAAAGTTTAGGGAGTGACATCTGCTAAATTCATGTATTTGAGCAATGATTATTGTCCTTTATGTGTGATTTTTCTCTTCCCACAAGTAAATAATTTGGTGTCTCATTTGATTAGGTGGAGCAGCCGTCAATCTGAGTAGGCCAGAGCCACCCTGTCCTTTATGTAGCCTTGCCACTGATGTGATGAGAGTGAAGATGAATGAAATAAGATTTAGCTTCAGATATCAAATACATTAACTGTGATTATGTTGAATGTGATTCATGCAAAATCATCATATGTAAATTACAATCCCAAAGACTCGGATTTGGTCTCACTATAAACTATTTAAAATCTGAAACACCAGATCATGTGTCTATCAGAGAGATGATCTTACCACAGTTCCTTCAGTTTACAGTGAGGATTCTCCAATACAATAGAGAGTTGCTTCACTCCTGAGTCTCCTATATTATTCAGATTCAGATTCAGTGTTCTCAGGTGTGAGGGGTTTGATCTCAGAGCTGAACCCAGAGCAGCACAACCTTTATCTGTGACACCACACTTACTCAACCTGTAGAAAACAATGACACACCCTTCACTCTCTCAGATCACCAGAGACTTCATTATCTAAGAGAAACCAATAACTTCAAATCACCATGTTAGATAGATCTTGGCCAGAGTCACAGAGCACAAAACATTATAATAACACACCTGCAGTCAAATTCAAGCAGGATTTTTTTTCTTGATTGTAAGTTTATCATTTGTGCAATTTCTCTTTTTTAAACAATTAATTAAATGTCTGTGAGTTTTACTGTTATTCTAAGAGATTATGTCTCTTTGTTAGAAAGATTAAACCGATATAATGAAATACATCTGGTTTTCCCTAAATATAAATACATATTTTTACATTGAAATTAAATTAAATAAAACTAAATATCTAAATATAAATGTGTATAAATACATTACACCTGCATATGTCTGAAAATAAATTTCTCATACAAATGTCATAAAAAAAAAAAATCTTGTTAGATAGATGAAGGGTTTAAAAGCTGAAGTGTGAGATTTTTTGTTACAATATTAATTTTAAGTAAAAAATATCAATGTTTTAACCATGATGGTTGTTCTCAGTGTTACTTACACAGCTGATCTAGTTGCTGTAACTACAGGCATCAGCTTCTGAAGAACTTCATCTGCTGTGTTTTGAGCTTTCAGGGTGACAGACGAGTCTCTATTTGAAAATAACAAACAATACATTAAATACATTCCTTAAATTCTCCTGAAATAGAATTCAATTAAATAAACACTGCTTTAAAAAGGACATGTACAGGTTTTTTTTGTATTTAACTGTAGATGTCACTAAACTTATTCAGCAAACACACTGTTTTTTTTCTTTTTGTCAATGTTTCTGTGGTAGGTCTATTAGTCTGCATTTACACTACAACACGTAGTGCAGAGATCTATTTTGACACATCCGATTTTTTTGTCCTGTCCGTTGCTATGGTTATCACTATGTCAATCATCACAATTTCAGGAGAGACTCACTGAACAACAATTTAGTGAATCCACTCCCATAATCAGTCATTCCAGCTCTCCGGATGTTTCGGGAGTCTATTGGGTGCTTCACAAATGGAAGGCTGCATCCTAGTGAGGTTGCGTCTTTCTTAGTCCAGTCCTTCTGAGGCTTAAAGGCTCAAGTCCTCCTCAACATTAACACAACGGATACAAAGGATACAATTGATGTATACTTCAAAACTAACTGAATTAAAGACGCGAAACAAAGGCTGCCTTCAAAGGATCCTTCAAATTGAGACTGCGGCTCTTGATGACGTGGCAGCCGAGATAAGCAGCCTTACTAGGACACAGCATCCATTTGAGAAACACCTGCAAATTACATACAATATCCCAGAAATCAATCTGTGCCCCATGATTTAAACACCTCTGATCTCTTCGTTTCTCTGGGTTCATAATTTCTTAGACTATAATGATTGTACTCAGTGTTACTTACTTATCATTATTGGCTCCAAATAAGCTGTTTAGGTTAAAATGAAAAATTGCCTGCTCTGAGGACAACAACACAAACACTAAAGCTGACCACTGAGATGAGGAGAGTTTCACATCACGTAATCCTCCACGGCTCATGCGAGGTTGAGCTTCGTTCACCAGTGAAAGATCACTCAGTTCATTCAGACAGTGAAACAGATTGATGTATTTATCTGGAGAGGGATTCTCACTGATCTTCTCTTTAATATAGTCAACTGTTTCCTCATTGTTGTGAGAGCTGTTTGCTGTCTGTGTCTTTAGTTCTTGTAAGAGACTCTGATTAGACTTCACTGACAGACCCAGAAGGAAACGAAGGAAAAGGTCCAGATGCCCATTTTTACTGTGTAAAGCCTCATCCACAGCTCTCTGATGGAGATCAGATAGAGACACTTTGCCTCCATTAGTTGGTTTGGTAATCTGGTCAAACACATGGATGTTATGGTTTATAAAGGAGAGATGCACATATAGAGCTGCTAGATGTTCCTGAATACTCAGATGAACAAAGCAGAAGACTTTCCCCTGACACAAGCCCAACTCCTCTCTGAAGATCTGAGTGCACAATCCTGAGTAAACTGATGCTTCTGCCACATCAATGCCACACTCGCTCAGGTCTTCCTCATAGAAGATCAGGTGGCCTTTCACAAGCTGCCGATACGCCAGTTTCCCCAGTTTGACAATCATGTCTTCATCTTTCACTTTCTTCTCATAGTCCTTCTCATGTTTGATGTTGGTCTGAATGAGCAGGAAGTGTGTGTACATTTGAGTGAGAGTCTTGGGAATCTCTCCTCTCTCTGCTCCACTGCACATCTCCTCTAGAACAGTGGCTGAGATCCAGCAGAACACTGGGATGTGGCACATAATAAAGAGGCTCCTTGAGGACTTCAGGTGTGAGATGATCCTGTGGGCCAGACTCTGATCACTGATTCTCTTCCTGAAGTATTCCTGCTTCTGTGTGTCACTGAAGCCTCGTACCTCTGTCACTCGATGGACACACTCAGAGGGGACGAGATCCGCTGCTGCTGGTCTGGAGGTGATCCAGATGAGAGACGAGGGAAGCAGATTCCCCACAATGAGGTTCGTCAGCAGCTCGTCCACTGAGGCTGATTCAGACACATCACACAACCTCACATCGCTCTGAAAATCCAGACACAGACGACACTCATCCAGACCATCAAAGATGAACAGCACTTTATACTCATCACTGGATATGGCCATTTCTTTGGTTTTTGGGAAAAAGAGATGAAGAAGATCTGAAAGACAGAGTGTTTTGTCCTTCATCAAGTTGAGCTCTCTGAAAGCGAGTGGAAATATGAGCTGGACGTCCTGATTCTCTTTCCCTTCAGCCCAGTCCAGGATGAACTTCTGCACAGAGACTGTTTTTCCAATGCCAGCGACTCCCTTTGTCAGCACAGTTCTGATGGGTTTGTCTTGTCCAGGGAAAGGTCTAAAGATGTCACTGCATTTGATCGGTGTGTCCTCTGTTTCTGCTCTCCTGGACTGTGTCTCAATCTGTCTCACCTCATGCTCATTATTGATCTCTCCACTTCCACTCTCTGTGATGTAGAGCTCTGTGTAGATCTCATTCAGGGGTGTTGGGTTTCCCTGCTTTGATATTCCCTCACACACACACTCACACTTCTGTCTCAGATTTGATCTCAACGTGGTGAGGACTTCAAGTTTAGAGTCGAAGCTGTAAAATACCAGATTATTACACAAGTTAGAGTAGTAAATAGCCATAAATTACTAAATGTATTTTTTGTTTGCTGTATTATGGGACACAGAACATCATGTGTCTGAATTTTTTCAATTATTGATCATGTGTGTGATGTGAAGTGCAACACCTAAAATTACACAACAACAAAAAAGTCCTACATTTTACCTGAAACCAGGACACATGCTTTCATTAAAGTCTTGTGGTTGAATCACAGGCTTAAACACAGTTGTGTTTTTAACTGGTCTGGATTGAAGATTTAACCTTAAATCAGAATGAAGAGGGTAAAGAATCAGACACACTGATATTGATGTAATTGTGTCATTAACTAAGTAACAGAACAACAGCTTTTATAGTGGGCTTTTCACAAGGGCTCAATGTTGATAATTAATAAACTGCAACTTGCAGGATTTGAACTCATTACACTGCCGAATATTAACAATTTCATAAAAATCAAATACTATAAACATAACTTTTATAGAAATTATATACCTGAGATCAGGCCGTGTGTTTCCACTCTTAAACTTTGGTGGCGGATCCATAGAGTGGTCACTATTCATAGACCCACAGCTGGACTCTGGTTTTGAGATCTTCTGCTGGACTGAACTGGTTTTATAACTAATAAAATAAAAAGCATACAGACTTATATACTGTATGTTGTGCACTTTTAAAGGAAACTTCTGTCTTAGGAAAGACCAGGGAGTGTTTTATTCCCGCACTTATCTGCTACAAACTATACTTGCATTGAAATCTAACAGCAGTAAGGGTAAGTTGTAAGATTATAGAAGACCGTGTAAATTGTGTACATTAATTAATTGTAGTTTTCAAACTTTTTCAAAATAATTAGATATTATTAATTCAAAATTATTAATATTAGGAAAGTTTTAAAATTCATAACACCTATAGAACAAATACATTAAACATAGTCTAAAATTTCTCTGTGTGTGTGTGTGTCACTTTCACAGCTATAACAAATTTATATTTTCCCATATTGAAAGTAGTGTTACAAAACTCCCCATCATATATGATATTTCTATTTCTTTTTTGTAAGTGTAAGGCTAATGCGGATGTTATATATAAAATTAAACAAGATAACTTGCTGATTCTGGTGATACCAGGCCTGTCATTCAACATTCATTGACTTGATCAAAATCAGAAGTTTCTCTTGTTGACAAGTTGTATCTATAAAAGCCAGAGCGAAGGGCTTGTTGTGACATTGAGTGTTTACAGGTGTTCTGGAATTTTTGGTGCCACAAGTAGCATTTGTTTGATTTTACGTATTTAATTTGTTCTCTCTGGTGACTCAAGAATTGCACTTCTTTGTTTTAATGGATGTCGTCTTTAAATCTTTGTGCATCCATGAGATGTACATCAGTAGAGTTGTAATCTGCACTATAAACCACTTTTTTGTAAATGTACTCTTGGTGTGAAACATCACACTTCTGACCAGACACTGTGTAGCATTCAACAAATCTGAACCAGCGGTTAGAAAAATCCACTTAATTTTACACCTATTCTATTATATAAAGGTGGAAGAAATCTCAGCTTACATTTACTTGATGTCATTGCTAGCATTAGACTGACTGACTGATACATTTTGCTTCTACTTCAAAAATGTCACACTATAAGCATAACTTTTATAGAGATTATATACCTGAGATCAGGCTGTCTGTCTCCACTCTTAAACGTTAGTGGCTCATCCATAGACATGTTACTCTTCATAGACAAACAGCTGGACTCTGGGTTTGAGCTCTTCTGCTGGACTGAACTGGAACAGAGAACAGATTAAGTTTAATTCTTATCCAATGGAGTTTACACTATGTTAATTCATGTTCATTTTACTTTTAAAACAAAGTAAAATAAAAAAGTATACAGACCTAGAAACTTATATAGCTACAGTATGCTGTACAGTTTTACTGGAAATCTTACTCCATTACTTAAAGGTGGACAAAAATCTAAATTACCATCAATCTCCATGACATTTCCTGAAATCAGTTTGATAAATGTCGATTCTGTGAGACTTTGCCAGACATGAGGTTCTCTCTCCCCTCCAGACACAGAACACAACAACACAAGAACGCCTGGCCAATGAACACATAGAACAAACGTTCAACGAAAACACACGAGTTGAGCATGTGGCGAGTGAATAAGCACTAGAGCCCGACCGATATGGATTTTTGGGGGCCGATGCCGATACCGATATTAGGGAGTAAAAAAAAGTCCGATACCGATATATCGGCCGATATTATTTATGTGTACATTATAATACAGTAGCAATATTATTTATGTGTATTATAGTACAGTATACCAGTCAAAAGTTTGGACACTTTCCTATTGGTGTGTACAAACTTTTGATGGGTACTTTACACAGTATAAACAGAATAAATATATTTTATAAACACGTTTTGCAATGATCACTCAAATGTGGTGATCAAACTCTTGTGTGACACAGATATGTAATGGAGGCAGGGGGAATGATAGAATGAGAATTATACAGTTGAGCTGTAACCAAACTAGTTTGCATTGCATGTTATATTATATTATATTCTAAAGACTGTTGCATAATCTTCACTAACGACTTTGTCTTTTAATTTAGTCATAACTTGTATCAATAAGTATATAAAAAGTGTCACTGACAAAACCTTATTATCTTCTATTTTTAGTCTTAATTCCTCTAATCTCTACCAGTGGAGGAAGAACTCAGATCTTTTTACTAAAGTAAAATTAATAATATCATAATGAAAACGTTTTTAATTACATATGTACAGTACTTTTATACTATTTTAAATAATTAGTAAGCAAAATGTACTAAACGTGAAACTAGGCTACTCTTACAATGGCCCTATATAAAGTGTTATAATTATATAAATTATTGGAATATTGCTTGATGTTGTAACGTAGCGTAATAGGCAGAATGAGCTTTAACAGACTGTGTCTACACCGGACGCGGCCGTTATTACTCGCGTCGCGCAACAGCTGTTTACCCTAGACAAAGCAGAATCAGTTTACTGTCGGAGATTTGTCGCTCGCGCCACGCATTTTAATCAATGTTTCATCAACCAATTGCCTGGATTTTAATAAATAAGAAGTAAATATAGCAGACAATATAATCAGGACTTCTCAGCTGCGCGCTTGCAATAGTCACAAGCTCACACAATATGTGACAGAGGCTGGTAGCAGAGAAATCAATTCTGTGAATTACACTGCGCAAATCACAAGTAGGCTACTACCCACCGGATGAAGAAGGGTTGGCTCTCAGTCTCCACAGGCTACATAAAATATTCATTTTATTTTATTTTATTTTTCGTGTTCGCATTTATGAGGAAAAAAACAATGCTACAGACGCAACAGTTCAGCACTACAGACGTGAGCGCTCTGAAAGCGGCACTAAAATATGCTTTGAAACTTTCACATAGACATCAAACAGAAAGCACAAAACCTTTCGTTTCAAAGTGAATTTCGTTTTGTATTAATTGTATCTTAATTTTAATCAATGTTTCATCAACCAATTGCCTGGATTTAAGAAGTAAATATAGCAGAAGATAGATAATCTCGACACGGAGGCGCCTGCGGGTGAACTGGAGCTCGTCTCATGAAACGAAACTCAGCGTATAGACCTGAGAATTGAAATCTATATTGAAATGTCTACTTTTAAACAGAACAATTCAAAACGAAAGACAGACAGACTTATGTAATCGAATGAAATGTGCATTTCTCTCTGGCGCGCGTTCACTGAAGATCGCGAGTCAGCATCGTCAACTTCATCTTTGGCTGACACTGACTGAAAACACTTGTTTATTAATAAACAATTAAAATGTCTCCTTGCTTTATTTGTTGTATTCATAATCATTACTTTTGCCAGTTCTTTGTGACAGCTTTTAGGTGCTTTATTGGCAGCGCCACCCTTACATGAATCACCGCACCCGCATTTTTTTAAATATTCATTTATCGGCCATTATAAATGCCGATAACGATAGTTTGGAAAATGCCTAATATCGGCCGATAATATCGGCCCGCCGATATATCGGTCGGGCTCTAATAAGCACTCAACCCGAAGTGACAAAACATGGAGCATGAATGCCTGAACTCCAACATTGAACTAGACCCAAGTGTCTGGATCCAAACACCTCGCTCCGCACACACACAATGTATCACAGACAAAAGACGAAACTTTAACTCTCACACAAAGACAAGACGACAGGAGTGTCAGAGCTCTGCCATCAAACTAAAGGGCCTTTCACACTGAGCGCGATTAAACTATGTGATGACACGATTGAATCGAAACAATAGATCCCAATGGAGCTATTCAAACCGGCCGTGATCAATGGTGGCGCGACGAAGCACTATATTTTCCCCATCTCCCCGCGATGAAATGGACCATACAATTAGATTTGAGCTTTAGATCATGTGCCCGGAGACATTGCTGTTGTACAAAAGAGCGAGATTGGAGAATGTACAATTGGAGAATGTATTCTTCACTTATCAGCATTCATTAGCGATCTTAGTTGAAAAGTATGCATATTTGGAGAAATATTGATTTATTCTCACGTTTACTACATATTTCTTTATACAGAATATAGGGGTGGCACGGTTCACAAAACCCACGGTTCGGTTTGTATCACGGTTTTCGCTTCTGTACGGTTCTTGTTGTTATTTTTTCTTTTAATCTTTAACACTCCAGAAATGTACTTCAGCATATGATATATAGCTTAATTATCCACAATTTAGGATACAGTATTAAAAAAAATGTTTTATCATGCACAAACTGAATTTGACTTGACTTTAAGCCCATTATTGGGACCGTCTCCGAGGAAAGCTAGGTGAGATTTTGATACAGCAAGAGAGAAGACATTGATGACATGCTTTTCGTTTATTTGGCAAAAAAGGTATAATGTGTATCACTATCTCTACAGGAACTTATGTGCATTTTTAGCACAGATTGAAATTAACTTGCATTTATCAAACTGCCAACTTAAGTGTAGCTCTTACAAAAATTTTATCTTTTAAAAGAAAAAGAGAGGAACTCTCAAAACTCTGTCTTTTAAATAAGTCAAAATACATAAAACATACTTGCCTATAATTAGGCTATAGCAATAGCAAAGGCCATAATCATAAAGTGAAACATAAGTTCAACCTCAACACAAAAACAGTATCAACAATGCTTCTATTCCCTGAGAGTGAGGATACACTTTTTTCACTTGAAATTAAAGTGCAGTATTTGGAAACATATGACTGGAGTTCTTATCTAAACTTAAAGTGCCACTATATATTTAAATATCATAACATGAAATCCAAAATGTTCCCACACACCGGACTTATACGACGCTGGCGCATCCTCCAACTCCGGTTAGCCTTCCTTATCTCTCACACTTGCCATTTCTCCGCGTGAGGTGACCTGACACTCCATACTCCACTTTTACTGGCGTGTTCGAGTTGAACCGGCGCTGCACTGAGCGATCGGTTTATGACATCAAAGTACCGCGAGAGTGATTGAAAAGCCCTTCCGGATTACGATGTCCTGTTTACTTCCTCGTTTTGAGTTCTGTACGTAAACAAGAGAAATGGTCGGAAAAAGTGCAGCGCTTCGGGTTCAGTGTCAGAAGGCCGGCTCTGTATTGGCCGACTCTGTTCACGTGAGCACCCCGACACATGCGTGCGATGCTGACGCAGGAGCCGGCCAATAATGGGCCGGCGTTCTGACGTAGAACCTGCACTGTATTTACAAAGTGAACAGCGTAGGAGACTGACACAAGCTGTGTCCCAATGTGAAGGCTGCATCCTTCGAAGGCCGCGAACTTCGAAGGATGCAGCCTATTCGTCCTTCGAAGGACGCGCACCACGTAGCCTTCGTATGATTTCCTAATTGCGCATCCAGGTGTTCCCGATTACCGCTCCTGGGTAGGGTTGCACCAGCCGTTCGTAACTTCTTTCTTAAATTGTAACGTAAAGTCCACACTAGAGGCTTAGTAACTACTAGCTAGTTTGTAACTAACTCTGTACTTTATTCCGTTGCACCATTTGTTCGTAAGGTAGAACTTAGCTAGTAGGTCGTAAACTCTCCGTAAAGTAATGCGTAGTCGCATAATATGACGTTTAGCCTCGATGAACCAATAGCAGCCTTCAAATACGTGAGCAGAAGTTGTGTTGAAATGCCGTGAATTTCAGTTTATCCTTCATTCTAACTTCTTTTGCCTCACGTTACTAACGGTAAAAATAAGTTTCCATTTAATACGATACTTGATCATGAATAACATAAGTGTTTTTATATATAAATAACATTCAGAAACTGTATTTGAAATGAAATTAATAAGGATCAATAAATAAATATTCATACAAAAAACAAGAAATTACGTTTATTGATTATGACTGATATTTGACATGCACAACATGAACCAATGCACACAGCGGCGCTGTGTAGGACCTATTTTTTACAGTCGTTTAGGACGGGTTCGTGTTAAAGTGCTGCTAACAAAGTAATCTTTTCACATAATGTTCTCTCTCTCAGGGGCGTAGAATTTAGTAGGGACGCTAGGGACGTGTCCCTACCATCCAGTGACACTGATATATCCCTAGCAAAATTTTCAATCAAAACTTTAAATATATTAAATATTGATGTCCCCGTCCCCACCAATTTCAAAATCAAACCTACGCCACTGCTCTCTCTTAAAATGTAAGCGAGTGTAAATGTCAGCATTATCATATATCATATATGAATTGAAGTCTGTCAGGTAAAAGAAGAGCTTATTGATGCAGTTCAGTCTGTCTGAT